TTGCATTTAATCATGGAATAGCAAATTCATATAGAGCTGTATGGTTTTCAAAGCATTGCTATAAATACTTTATTCGATTTTTGAAACTGGTGTATGAGGAAGGCAAGCAGTTGTGATAATTCCCATTGTTATTTATGATTAGATGACTTACCCAAAGTCACAAAACATTATAAGAAGACACTGACATAGAACCCAGTGCTCAGTCTACTCCTTCACTCATTAATTCATGCATTTATACATTTATTCAACTAACTGGAACTATGGCCTCAAAGATGAACAAGACCAAGCCTGGCCTAAAGGAGTCCCCCGTTTAGTGAGCAGGCAGAAAGAAAAGCCACACACCATTGTTGGCACAAGCATGAAACAGGAAAGATGCACACACGTCTTACAGATGAGGCCAATTCTTAAATCTAGGTTTCTATGTAGAAAGAAACAACTAGGCCCAGAGGAAGTGAGGGGTAAGGGAAAAGACAAACAGAGGTCATCTAATTTCGTTCAAATAGAAGTGAGTGCGAGTCCTGGCAGAAACTTAGAGTATGAAGTCAGCAGCAGCCAATCTTGCCCTTGAATGCCTTGCTCTTTGGGCCAAGCTAAAGACAGCCAAAGGGCTCAGATTCAGATATATGCTAATCTCCAAAAAGCTTTCTGGGCTGATCTCACCTCATATGTAATAAAGCATACTAGTGGCAAATTTCATTTCTTTTAATACTGTGATGTCTTGAAGGAACAGTGACTCAAGCCCTGGGTTTGAATGAGTAGATTGTTTTCTGTAGCCAATATGTAAATACACATTTCATATACCCACATGGACGATTCACATCCATAATACTATATTTAAGGATCCACATAGATGATACAAAACATACATAGAACTCTATAAATCTCACATGCAGAGACAAATGAGTAATGTGTATATCTAGATGACCCCCTGAAACATGTTCAGATGGAGATGGGTTACGGAGAGGTTACCACACAGGACAACCATCTGTCCTAGATGCTTTAGACAGTCATTTATTGCACAGGAGGAACTGAAGGAGGGGGTTGGACAAGATGAATTCCAAAGGCTCCTTAAAGCTCCATGGTTTTATGTATTATGAGTTCACCTGCACGAAACAGTTTCTCTATTCTTGAGAAATAAAATTCCATGACCCTTGTGAAATTATTCCTCTCTGTCTTTTCTTTGTACTCAGGCAGAAAATGTATTATTGATTTCTGATTCAACCACAGACAATGTGACTTAGAGAAAAGAGCATTGAGTGAGGAGTCAGGAAACCCAGATTCTCTCCCCAAACCACCCAGGAAGAGGGGTGGGAGGTGGGGGCTGTGTGACCTTGGGCAATAGTCTTCACATCTCTGAGCTTCAGCTTCCCAAGTATTAAATGAAAGGAATGGCTAAGTGTTCTACAATTCTTTCCCATTTCTAAACCTATGAAATCATCCCCCTCCCCCAAGGTTTAGTTTATCTCTGGAGCTCTAAAAATCAGGACTAATCAAACTGGATTCAGATCATCTCTTTCCTAACCAAAGAAGATCCTGTTTTATCTTACTTTTAAAAACCATCCAAATCTTGCATAATTTAAATGATCAGTGCTGTCACTGGTTGCTCTGCTTTAAATTATGCATTGTTGCTATTTGGGGAAAATTTAGACCAGGTCCAGTCTGGGATCACTGGCGGAGAACAATAAGCCCCCAAAGTGAGAAGGATAAAGGCCTCTCCAGACAGGATCTGCTTTTAATGCACTGAGAGCAGGGTTTACAAAAAGAGCATTGATTGTGTACATTAAAGAGCCACTGAAACAGCAAGGGACTGGTAAGGCTGCAGAAAATTCTCCTAGAAGCCACTGACCTTGGCTGCATTTCAGGGGTCAGGCATTCCCAGGAGGTTCTCAGCAGGCAGGCTGAAGGTTTAGGAACAAATGAAACCTCTCATCTAGATGAGCCCACTTCTAATTGGGGAAGACAGAGACAGATGATCTGCCCTCTGATTTGTGAAAATTACCTATATGGTTGTTGGACCCACTCCCGGCCTGCACACCTCACCCACCACAAGACTGGTGGCAGACGCCAGCCCTCCAACTGTCTCCACATCTGCATTTAAGTCCTCCAGGCGGCTGACAGCAGCTCTCCAGTTTCCTGGGCTAGCCTCAGCCCTCCTCCCTCCCTCTTTCCACACCTCCTGCAGGCAGAAATACCGAGGCCCAAGTCACAAAAAGCAATTTCGGTGCCTCTTGCAAAGATATCTTTTCAAAATATAGATCTCAGGAGCGCAGGTTTCCCATGTGTGAACTGCACCCCAGACCTATTAGTGAGCCCTCACAGTTGTTCACAAGCCTGCAGGCTCTGTGCTCAGTATCTCCAAAAAGCCTTCCTCAAGAAAAACCACAAGGGACACCTCTGACCAAGCCCAACTTAAAATCAGAGTGCTTCCCATTACAGAAGCGATGTCGAGATTCTGACTCGGGGAAATCACAGGTTTCTCCCATTGTTCACACGCCTTCCCCAGCCTTTGCCACTTTCCCCTACTCGGAAGTCTGGACCATCCATCCACCTGATTAACTGGCTGGCAGCAACTCCCAGTGCAGAAAGTAGGGCAAATGAATACACACACAGCCTGTAAAGAAGGAAGCCACAGACTTGGCCAAAACACCCACCCTGTTACCAACCCGCACCCCCAGCTGCCCAGGGGGCACCGATTCTGCATGTAGCATTTCAACCCCGGGAAATAGACAGCTTACTGTAATAATGAATGAATGAGCTTTTTGCTACCCAACTATCAAAAACGCCAGTTACAAATGGCACCTCTGTTCCTTCTCAACCCCCTGACTGCCTTGCAGAAACCTCACCTTTTGGATGCAACGATTAAAGACAGGGGGAGGAGGAGTTAAAAAAAAAGAGGGGGGTAGGTAGGGAGACGGGATTAAAGAGGCTAAAGAAAAAGTGACACTTTGACCATCAAGGTAGCTCTTTAAAATAACGGTGGAGAAAGAGGCAATATCGGGAGAAGTGCTGGAGATGCAAGTACATAACCCTGAATGTAGCACAATGTAACAATGCACTCAGGAGGGAATGTGAACTTCCAAGCTTCACCTGTCCTGCATGTCCCTGCGTTGAGAGCCACCATCAACTGAGTCTCACCGACCCTCCATGTCTCATGTATATGCAGTTGCTCATCTAATTTTTTTTTTTTAATTTTGTGGTTCAGGAATGGAAGCAGCCGGCTTTAAATCGGAGTCCAATCCTTCTAAGACCCCTGCTGCAGTCGCCACCCACACCCCTCACCCCCTTCCCAGCAGGCAGCATCTAATTAAAATGGCAAGAAAGCTCTGCCCCCTTCCGCGAAGGAGAGTGTTGAGATTGGGGGGTTGGGGGTGGGGAGGCGTCAAGGCTGCACTGGGATTCCTGGGATTCTGGTCTCAAAACAACAGCAAAATGGATTCTATACCAGTGATGTCTTAGTCAATACAATGAAACGGCGTCTAAGGCAATTCACGTTAAGGTAAACGCAAACCAGCGGGGCTGAGGGTTGGGACGTGTTCTACAAAGGACTGGCCACAGACAGGGAAAACACACACACACACACACACACACACACACACACACACACACACACACACACACACACACACTTGGGAGTTCCGGTCTGAACACATCGCTTTCACCTGCTTAAGTTCAGCCATAAAACTGAAATGTCACAGCCACAAAATCAGAAAGCACAGGCTGGGCTGAGTGAAAACCATAAATAAAGGTGAGTGGCACACTGGCCTTTAAGAGAGCGCTGAGATGGAGTGGGGGCGCGGAAGGCAGAAAAGGGGGGAAGGGGAGGCCGCTGCCATGTCCAAGACCAGCATAGAAATAGCTGCCCCCTTGGAGAAAGAAGCGGGTTCGACTCCGTGGGGACCACCGGGCTCACAATGTCATCTTGCACATAGCTGGAAAACGTGAGGGGCCAGTGCCCTTATTCACGCGGTTATTCTTTTGCAGTCGCCTTGGCACAAGACGACTGCCCGGGGCTTGTGCGTGCACACACACACACACACACACACACACACACACACACACACACACACACACACACACACACACACACACTCTCTCTCTCTCTCACTCTCTCTCCCCCCCCCCTCTCAGATGAGCCTTTCATTTTAATGCGCTTACACGGGTCTAAGATGAAATTGGCATAAGCTCCACGCGCTCCTGTGGGTTTTCGGCCACAACCAGAGGACACGTAGCGTACAGTCCCTGCCGTGGGGGCTTAGGCGAAAGCACCTCGGCAGCCTCCAAATCCAACCGAGAATCCAGGTTCCCTCCGCGTCGCATTCGCCCGCCTCTGCCCACCAGCCCCAGTCCACGCACCGAGCCCATTCACCCTGACCCCAAGCCCCGAGAAAGAAATCAGAAAACGTTCTACTCACCCTCAGAGCCGAGAGATCGATTTCATCCAGGCTGCGAGCCGGAGAGTCGCTCGCCATGTCTACTTCTTCGCCAGAGAAATGGACCAAAACCACCCCGAAGCTTCTCCCTTGGAAATTCCACCTTGGTCTATTTCACTCGCGTCCTCATGCGGGTGTCGCGCCAGAGGCCCCCGGGCCCAGCCTCCCCCGCCCACCCCGGCTCCACAGCGCCCGATCCTGATCCTCCGCGCCTGGGTCCGCCCGGTCCCGGAGCCCAACCTGCGCGGATCTCCAAACCCAGAGCAGCGGTGCGTGTGGGCTGCGCGCCCTGATCGGCTAAGGGCGCAGGGGCTGCGTGGGTGTATTTAAATGGGACATGCTTCTTTGCTTGTGCGTGGATGGCGGCTGCATTGGCTGTTATAATGAGACACATCAACTCCTCCACTCAGCTGGAGGGTGGGGGTGGAGAACCACACAGAGCTGTCTATCATCGCTTCCTGGGAGGAGTAAAGGGGGGGAAAGAGGCGGAGGGGGCGTGGCCTCCGACTGGGGCGAGGCTGCGCTTCCTGACCGGTTCCCTCTGCACCAGAGTGGACGGGGGAGGGGCGGGTACCCTTTCCGCCCAGGCTTTTGCGGACTAATAGGGCTGACTCCGAAGAGTTGTTTCTTAACCCTGCCGTGCTTATCGTAGGGGTAAAGGGGCTATTTGGACACACATATTTGTGTGTGTCCAATTCGTGCGCTGCAGCAATATGGCCCTTTAATCGCATCTGGCGGTTTCTCGGCAAGGTTCAAATGCTGTAGCGCTGAAAAATCCGGGATAAAAAAGAGCGACACCCTCCCTCCCCCATTAATTATTTGTGGGGCTGGAGTATCGCAGGCTGGTGCAACCGGTGCATATAAGGACTTGAGTGCAAGGAAAGGGACCCGCCTCCAGCCGCGGAACGAATGGGGGAGAACGCGCGCTCGCACGGTGCGTCCAGCCCCGCGCCTCGGCAATTTGCCCCGGCGGCTGGGTGGGGTCTGCCAGCTGCTCCCCTTGCTCCGGGATGGCGGGTCCCTCTCTGCTTCGGGGCTGGGAAGGTTTGCCAGAAGCGGGAGAGCTGGGAGTCTGAGCTCCTCTTCGCTTCGCCACACCCAGGACCTGCCGGTGCCGCAATTCCCCCAAGGAAACAACCGAATTGAAACAAGAGGCTTGTTTTCCAGGTGCAATAGCTTGAATTCTTAAGGTAACTCTAAAAGCAACACTGGGTAAGGCAGCACTCGCCGACTCAGGACTCGACGTTTCTCTTTCAGGCAACTTTACCGCGGCTGACCTCCCCAGATTGATGGAGAAAGTTTGGCTGTCGGATAAGATGTAACACACGAGGTGTACAACCAGAGAGCGGTTCCACTCCACCTGCTTTCTCATTTAAAGGCTGAATGTTTACAGTGGTAAATATGACATGCTGTAATCAAGGGTGTGAATTTGCTTCCCCCAGGCCCCGCACTGCCCTTCCTTTCCAGCCTTGACCATGCTAAATACATAGGAAGAAACGCAAAAATTGAACTTTTGCCCAAACACAGCAGTTGCTTTGAAAGCATTACCTGCACCCCTGTTAAGATGAGAATTTACTTCTGGCCAAATGCACTGAGGGTTTTTTAATCGTGTAGAGTGAGTATCAGCTTAAGAGTAAGGCTTTTGAATGAATGAATGAATGAATGAATGAATGAAAGCCAAAGCAGTTAATTCGTCAGGATTGCAGATATTAGAGGACTTTTAAACAGCATTCAGTATGTGCTGTGCTGTTTTTGTTAATATTATTGTGTTTATTTATATGCACTGTGGATCATGAAACTTGAAAAAATATTACACCTCAATGGCCATAGAGTTGTTCAGGAGCTTTTGCCATTAAAACGTCAAACGTTTAAACGTGTTATATTCAAAAGGCTCTATTTGATCTCTTATTTTTAAATAAAATCATCCAGCTCGAGGTGGTAAGTAACGGTTCAGTAAGCCACCAGGTAATATCAAAATGACATAGAAAACTATCATTTCCTATTATTGTCCTTATTTTTCCCCTTCCAAGTGCCTTTTTTATCCTTAATCTAGATGACAAGTGTTGAAAAAAATTAAGATCAGGTATTGAAATCTACCGTGTTTCCCTGAAAATAAGACCTACCCGGAGAATAAGCCATAGCATGATTCCACCAGGATATGGAGGGCACACACCCCTCACATGAGGGTTTTATGACCTGTTTCAGGGAGAAGGGTGCCTTTTCCACTTCAGCTTAAAACATTCAGTATGCCAAGGTGCCATATTTTGGCACCTTAAAAATGACACTACGGCTTCTTTTCTGGCTATGTCTTATTTTCCAGGAAACGGTATGAACAGAACTATTTCTAAAACTCCAAACATTTTTAAAATGAGATCAACTTTTTTTTTTTCCCATGGAGAACCTTCATTTTATACTCCAGATTTTATTTGATACATCAGAAATAGATCATTTCTTTTGGCATTAGTATGCTGTATCAGGCCATGAGAATGCCATGATACTGGCACTAAATTCTACCCTTGGATTTAGAATTAGATTCAAAACTATATTCAGTGATTGGTACTAAATGGGGAGGGCTTCCTAGGAGTCAGGAGGATGATGAGAGTCAGGTGAAGGCAGGGGTGCTGGTTGCAGGAAATACCCTAAGAGGAGAGATTATAATAGCCAAGGCATCCCCAGCTGGTAAGGGAAGAGAAGGTGGAAACTTCTAGCAGTTTGTGCTAGAGGTGAAGCAATAGTGGTGACTGGACTGAGGAAGAAAGCAGAGGTCAGATCAGGTAGAGCTTTGTGTACCTCTTGTACTGTTGTTATTTACTTAATATTTTCTTTGAATCAACACTTTTTTACATTTAATTTAAAAGGAAACATAAGTTACTACTGTAAATGGAAAGCTGGCAACACTTGCTAAAAAAAAGGGGGGGGTAACCATTAAAATAAATATAATGGAAAATAAATCATTAAATTCTAGTTAGCCATCATGGCCTGCCTCAGGCTTCTGTCCTGAGGCCTGCTCTTAGTTGTTAAAAGAGAGATTAGCAAATGCCTGAAAAGTCATTCAAAACTGGACCAAAGTGAGATTTTCCTCTGGGTGTAATCTGAAAGACTGAATGAATTGCTATCATTTATGTGCAGTTTGAAAGCCTGAAGAACAATACGATATTCTGTTTATATCTGTCTAAATATAAAAAGCATGGACATATTCTGTTTATATCTGTCTTAACTATAAAAACCATGGACACAAGCAGGAAGGATATAGATTAACTTCAGGATAGTGAGAATGGAAGAAGACAAATAGAATGGGAGGCACAAAGGAGGCTCCAACCATGATGTCTAGTTTATTTAAAAAAAAAAAAAGATCTCAGGCAAAGATTGCTAAATGTTTGGAACTGCTAAATCTGGATCATGACCCTATTTATTATATTGTTCTCTGTATCTTTTTGTATATTTGAAATATTTTTATGTCTTAAAAATATTTATAAAAAAGAGAATGCCAAAGGGGGTTATGTTCTCTATATAAGGTTCAATGTTATTTATTGTCAAATCCGTGCTCCAACGAAAATAAACACTGGAAATCAGTAACACTGCTGGTGGAGCTTCTAAAAGCACACTCTGCACATCTTACGTCACCACAAATCCCTAAATATAACAGAAAATATATTTTTAAAAATTCATTAGTGTTCTAGAAGACAAAAAAAGGCAGCATCCATGGCCCAGCATTTCAAAGGACTGCCTAGATTATATAAAGCAGACAGGATTGGATTGCCAGGAGAGACACAAACCAAAACGGTATAGGGTGGGACCACAGTGAGAGTTGGGGCAGCTTCAAGCTCAGAGGCAATGGCTACAAAGAGCAGGTACGTTCATCATGAAGAATGATAAAAGAATGGCATTAATTCACTCTTTCATTTTAACAAATGTACAGATCATTTACTCTGTGCAAGACACGATACTAGGCCCTGGAGATTTTCCTTCACAGAGTCAGATAATTAACTTATAAATAATTGATACCTAAGATTATTTTAGATGGTAGTAAGTGATATGAAGAAAGTTAAGCAAGATAATGAGAATTAACAGGTGGATGTGTCTACCCCCAGCCCTAATACCCACTCTGAATATGGGCGCTCAGGCCAAGGAAACAGGGTATCACTCCAAGGAACTGATCACCAATTGCCAAGAGAAATGGGGCCACATAAAAACACAGGCAGAAGTAAACCATCTGCGTGCCCTGCCATACACCACGTCCTGTCCTGCCCCGCTCCCCACCACATTCAGCAGAGCAAGCGCTCAGAATTAGAATCTGCACCACAAATAGGCAAACAAGATTTCCACATACTAAGATGAGTAGATAACCCAGATCACCAATCATTTGTAGAAATCTGTTACTATGAAAGATAGGCACTAACTTCTGTCAACAAACAAATTAAACACCCAAAGTTATTTTTAATAGAACAAAAAGTGTGTTTTTTTGTTTTGTTTTGTTTTTGTGTGTGTGTGTGTATGTATTATGTATTCCTCCGAGGGATAATAGAGGACCTTACATTCATAAAACAACCAGGTTATTATGAAAACAAACCAGTTGGAAGACTAATTAAGAATATACTTATTGAATTTGTTAAATGAATAGAAAGATTGAACAATAGGTGATACTATGCTGCAGACTCTCCTAAGCATTCATGTATTAACATATTTTATCTTTATACTTACAAAATAGGCAATATTATCAGTATATTCATTTTACAGATAAGTAAACTGAAAAATAGAAAGGTTAATTAACTTAAGGCAACACTGTAATAAATGGCTGAACCAGAATTTGAACTCAGGCTCTTAATCACCATGCTATATTGACTCAAGCTGGACTGAAGAGTGAATTAATAAGCTAGAAGATTGGGCCCAATTTTCTCCCATATTGCAGGAGAAAGGATAAAGCAATGGCAAAAGTTCAAGTAATATGGAGAATAAATCCAGAAGTTACAACATTCATCTAATTGGAGATCTAGAGAATGAATGGAAGGAAATAAATAAATGATTTCAAATGTTCTTGTGTCTTCAGGCTAAAAGCTCCTATTCAGTGCATAACTAAAAAATACTACACTTGAACACATCATGATGAAATTTCAGAGCATCAAGGATCAAAAAGGAAATTCTAACCGGATCACCTACTTCTCATCAGCAACAAATGGATGCTAGTAGATAATGGAACAAAGTATTCTAAGGGGATTGTTTTTGACTTAGAATTCTCTAATCAACTAACATTTAAGACAGAGTACAAAATAATGACACATTTTCAGACACATAAGCATTCAAGTGGTTCACCATCTCTTAAATTATTATTGGAAAATGTATTCTACCAAAGAGAAAACTGAATCGAAAAAGAAAGCATGCAATACAAAAGACAATGAGTGGTAAGCAAAGGCAGCTGTTTGTCACCCACTCCAAGTCATTCTCTTTCTTTCTTACTGGCAAAATACTGATTCTGAGAACTTAACCTTCAGGTATTTAAAGAATATGGGCTCTCCCCAACCCCAGAATGAGAGTGAATGTTAACTGATCTAAACTCATCATAGGAATTCTACTCTCTCCAAATGGTTGGTTTAGACATAGGCATATCATGCAACACTGACTAAAGAAAAGTGATGAGAAGTCTGGTGGGCGTTATAAGAATGGTTTTCCACTTTGAAAAAAAAAAAAAGGAAGTAAATAAGAAAAGAGAAGAAGGTCAGGAAAAGCTTCCTGCCCGCGGTAGCCATCCTCCTAAACGCCTTCCAATCAGCCTGACCTCCTGGTATTTATACCCTTGTGTTGGTCCCTCTAACATAGAATACAGAGGACTTCCAAAACTGGGTAATAAAAGGCATTTCTTGATCTCTTGGTTCGTTTGCTCTGAGTTTCTCAGTCTCAGCACTGTAGGCATTTGGGGCTAGAGAACTCATGCTGTAGGGGACTGTCCTATGCAGTATACGATGTTTAGCAGCATCCTTGGTCCCTACCCACTAGATACCAATAACACCTTCCCATTTGTGACAACCAAAAATGTCTCCGGACATTGCCAAATGTCTGTTGCAGAGCAAAGTCACCCCCAGTTGAGAACCACTGCTTTAGGGGAAGCTAGCCACCGCGTCCTGTGGACATTCATGCAACTTGCCAGCCATGTTAGTGAGCTGCCATGAAGTAGGTAGATCCTTCTGGTCTAGTCAAGCCTTCAATTGATTGCAGTCTTTAACTGCAACCTCATGAGAGATACTGAGGTAGAACCACCCAACCAAGCTACTCCCAAATCCCTGCTCCACAGAAACCATGATAGATGCTAAATGTTATTGTTGTTATAAGCCAGTTGATTTGTTATGCAGCAATTGATAACTAATACACTGTCTTCAGACAGTGTCTTGTGTAGATATGATAGCTGGAGCTATAGCAGCCACCTTCCTACCGGGTCAGGATGAACTTGAGAAAAAAAGCAAAGAATGAAAAGCACTTGGATCCTTAATGACATTGTGGAGACACCAAATTAATCCAGGAACAACCTATCTCTGAACATCTTTGCATATGACATAAGTTTTTCTCATTTTAAGCCACCTTTAGTTGGGTATCCTGCTATTTGCAACCCAAACACTTCCTGTTACAGAAAATAAAACTTTTAATTAACTCTTTATCATTGCTCATTAAGTAAAAAGAAATAATGATAATCTGAAACTAAAATGATCTTATCATGAGGGTAAAGGGATAGAGAAAAAAAGCAGATTAAGATTTTTTATTTATTTGGAGATGTATATGGATGCTATCTCTAAACACATAGAGAAAAATGTAAGTTGAGTATGCATGATAAATATAAGGGTCACCATATAGGCAAATATAAATTGGATGTTTAAGTTAAAAACTACTTGATTGAAAATTAATGGAACAAGAATACTTGATGGTGTCAATAAAATGGGGAAAGAAAAAATATAAACCAGTATGTGTAGTATAAAGGACATATTTTTGAAGTGGTGGGGCCCACTCAGAGCCCAGTCTGCTTTTGTATACAGTAAGTCCCTGACTTATGAACATTCGAGTTGCGAACTTTCACAGATACAAACGGACCTCGCAATACAAACATTCATACATGCAAACAAATGGCGGAAGTAGCTCACATGTCTGCCGGACATTGTCACAGTTGTGCTGCTGTGTGCTCACTGTACAGTGCGATAGTGTACAGCAGTACAGTGCTCAACCAGAGCCCAGGATGTCCGGAAGCAAGAGGAAAAGCGGCGGTGATGTGGAGGGGACTGCTAGGAAGCGCAAAGCAATAACCATGGAAACAAAAGTGAAAATAATTGAGAAATTGGACCAAGGCGAAAAGATGATAGATGTCGCTCGTTCTTATAACATGAATCGTTCAACCATTGGCTTTACATTATATATTTGTGTCAAAGATGTATAAGACTCAACTTTGTCGGACAAAGTTACGAACAAATCTGACTGACGAACGTTCTCCCAGAACAGAACTCGTTCGTAAGTCAGGAAGTTACTGTACTGTGGTAGGTAGACTAATGCCCGTCCCCTCGCCCCCCCAAAGATGTCCATGTTCCAATCTCAGGAACCTGAGAATATGTTACCTTACATGGCAAGAGGGACTTTACACATGTGCTTAAGGAATTTGAGATTAGCAGGGTGGGCCCAATGTAATCACAAGTGTTCTTAAAAGTGAAAGAGTCAAAATTGGAGGAAGAGATAAAATGGAAGAAAGGACAACATTGCTGACTTCAAAAATGAAGGGATGCAGGCAGCCTCTAGACGCTGGAAAGGGAAGGAAACAGATTCTCCCCTGGAGTCCCCAGAGAGGAGTGCAGCTCTGCTGACACCCTGATTTTAGCCCAGTGAGACCCCTTTTGCCTTCTGACCTCCAGACTATAAAATAATAAATTTGTGTTGTTTAAAGTCACTAAGTTTGTGGTTATTTGTCATAGCAGTTATAGAAAACGAATAAGATGTCCTGTATCCATATTTCCTTTTGAATAATTGTCTCTTTCTCCTTAGTTAACAGATTTTTGAGGCTGTTACTCAGCTTTTTCTGCCCACTAGTAGACAAAAGGTGAGTAGGTATCTGAAATCCGAACAGGAGAAGTGTCCCTCACAGAAACCTGGAACTTCAGAAGAATGGCAACAACCCTGAGAATGGTTAGCAGTTATGGTGCTACCCTACCCATAAGGTCCATACCCTACCCTAAAGCCCATTCCTCCTTCCTGTTACTCAGACGTTGCTTTGTGTCCTGTTCATTTCCAAGCTTGGCTCTCTGTGCTAATTATCCATTGTTGTGTAACAAACCACCTGAAAACTCAGTGAGTAAAAAACATTTTTTCATTCACAAGTCTGTAATTTGGGCAGGGTTTGCTAGGGGAGGCTCATTTGCACTATGTAGCATAAGCTGAGGCTGGAGGGCCCACATCCAAAGTGACTCGCTCATGCACGGAGCAAGTTTGGTGCTGGGCTATTCGCTGAGTACTCAGCCAAGGCTGATGGCTGGGAGCTTTGGTTCCTCTCCAGGCTGGTCTCTTCATAGGCCATTGGGGTTCATCACGGCATTGTGGCTGAGTTCCAAGAACAAGTATCCCATGAGAACCAGACAGAAGCTGTATCACCTTTTCTGACCGAGCCTCAAAAGTCATGTGACTTCAGTTCCACCACTGTCACAAATATACACAGATTCAAGGGGAAGATACAGACATCCCACCTTTCGATGGGAGGAATATCTAAGTCACATTGAAGAAGAGCATGTGGGATGGAAGATACTGTTGCAGTATTTTTTGAAACTAAAGCCTACCACATCCTTCTAGCCTTATGATTGATTCTCCATCCTCAGTATCTTTGCCTTTGTGCATATTAACCAGAACTGGTTTTTCCTTTTACTTGCAACCGAAGAATAAAGCAGCAAGCATAAACACAAACATATCAGAATAAGTGTAAATATGTAAATTCCCTCATTAAAAGACAGAAGCTCTCAGTGGGTAAAAGCAAATCAAAATAACCACAGTAAACTAAGAATACACTTACTTTTCAAATCTGCCGTAGGAAATTGACAAATTTGATGAGGCCACAAGGTAAAGTTTGATAATTTCCAAAAGGCAATCACAGATACCACATTCTCAGACTACATTAGGAGAGTTTAGCATTCATGTCATAGATTTATTTAAATATATAATTCACAATTCTTGGACCTTATTCACTACAAAGACCTTTGTCTCTCACTGCACTTAAACTTACTCCCAGGGACCCAACCAGAAAGGTATTATTACCTTAAACATCTCCGCCTTGGAAAATAAAACTCTAATTTCCCATTGTCTAATTATACGCCCTATCATTTTGGCTTCCTTTGTTAACATCACTGTTTTCAGCCTCAAAGAGACCTCATCTCTGTCCAATAGCAGTATTCTTCATTCTTTTCCAATTTACCTTCCCTTTTACCCTTTGTTCCTTCCCTTTCCATGCCGGACTTCAAAGTGTTTAGGGGCCTGAAATCCAATACTCTGTATTCCATACAGCATGATCTGAGGTGAAGAGCATGGTCCCTGGAGTTGAAAAACCTGAGATCAAATACCAAAATAGAAAAAGAAAAATAATACAGTTATTTTATAGTTCTCATTTTTTGTTCCAGATAGATAGATAGATAGATAGATGATAGATTAGATAGATAGATAGATAGATAGATAGATAGATAGATAGATAGATAGATAGATATGCAGCTATATCTCTTTTGTATTAAATGGGTTCAGAGCAATTTTCCTAATTAGCACCATTTAAGCCCAAAGACAAACACAACTCTTTATCTAAAATACTGATACTACACTTTCCCCAAATATGGAAAACTATTTTTACTAAAAATTTGGCAAGCCGTTTCATAACAGGATTTTCTGTTTTCATTCTTTGAGAAATTCCTAACAACAAATATGTATAGAAATTTTAATATGCAGCTGTAATCTTTCACTATTTATTATAAAAGTTTAATTATTTATAATTTTTTTGGAAGTTGTTTAATCTTCTTAAATCCTAGAACAGTTTTAAGTTTAATTATATTCAAGCCAAATAATGGAGTTTTCAGCTTTCTTTTCCCTCAATATTTTTAGGACCTAACCTAGTTAGTGTCTTGCAACAGTAAGCATTGCATATATGTCTGATCAATGACCAAACACACTGTAATAGAAATGATAAAAGGACATCTATTCTGACCACCAGGGCCTGTCTAGGCCATGTCAAAAGCCTGTGGTGTTTGCTACCTGCTGGCTATCTCAATTAGTTTCCACTTTTCTTATGTAAGTTTTCTATAGAACTGTTCCTATTTAATTTTAGCTTCTAAGCCCCCTTTAGCCTACCAAAATAATTTTCAGATTTTTATTTTATGTCCATATATTGGAATGGTATAGCCCCACAGGTTAGCTCATAACTGGGAGAAGGGAAGAGAAGCCTAGTTGGATCTTTACCTGAAGTCATAGAGTATATAAAAGTTTTTACCAGACTTTTAAAGCTGGAAGGAACCTTAGAGATAAGTAAG